CTGCCTTACCCGGGCCAGCGTCTGGTTCTGAAGCTCCATGGCCTCCAGGTAGTTGCAGGGCACGATCCCTTTCTGCGCAGAGGGGAGGCCCAAAGACAAAGGCGAGCGGTTAGGAGGAGCCCCGTTAACACCTGGGCAAATCACAGGCTGGGCAGGAGCAACTCGGCCAGGCCCATCAGTCGGGTGGGGAGGGGGGTCTCCCCTGCACCTGGTGCCTGGCAGAGTGGAGGTTTGTTTCCTGAAACCCTTGTGGCCTCTCGCAGTTCAGAGGAGCCCCGGGCTGAACCTACTGTACCAGGAGGAGGGTCTAAGACCCGGCAGCCTGTCATCTGACCAGCCTGCTCTTGGCGGCCTCGCTCAGCTGGTGCCTGAGACTTGGCTTTCGAGTCCGAGATGAGCCTCCGGACTCTTGCATTTTGGGTTGGGGGGTGCGAGGAGCATCCGGCACCGGAGCAGTCCCTGGAGAAAGGGCAAGGCGGGGTCTGGATGGCCTTGGGGTGAGGAGAGTGTGCAGGAGGGGGATACAGACAGGTCTGGGAGCCAAGAGCCCGGCATCTCCTTCCTGCCTTTGCCCCTCACTGGCTGTGTTACCACGGCAATGCCCCGTCAGGCGAACCGGCCCTCCTGGGGGGTGGTGTGCGAGGGGCTGGTCGAGGGCCCAGCGTGGCTGTAGCCATGCAGGCGAGGGAGCAGGCAGTGAGAGGAAAGGCACAAGCGGGAGGACCTGGGTGGAAATGCTGTGGGTGGGGTGGACGAGGGAGGCAGGCTGCACTCAGATGCCGGCTAGTGGGAATTGGAGGATGCTGGGAAGGAACCCGGAGTAGGAAAAGACCCTACCCAGCCCAGAAGCATGGCTGGGCTTGCATCACTTTGCAGCCCGGGCACCAAGGTGCAGGGAGACCCCCAAAGCACGTGGGTCCGGCAACAGGAGAAAAGCATCGACAAGGACCCCAGCAAACCCACCCAGGCAGTGGGGCTTGGCCCTGCCTGCCATGGAGCCGGAGCAGGCCCAGAGGAGCGCCAGCTCAGGCCTGGCAAAGCCGGGTGTGGAAGGGGCTGCGAGTACCTTCCCGTTGAATATCACGGTGGCCCAGTTGTCCTTCCCCTTCTTCAGCACGAAGACGATGTTTCCTGGCAGGACCTGCAGCTCCTCTTTGGTCTCAGGCGTGAACTCGTAGAGCACGCGGTGGGGGTCCCCTTCCAGGGCCCTGCAAGGGGAGGTAGCGGCAGAGGGAGTGCTGCTGCCTGCCTTAGCTGGCTCAGATCTCTTGTTCTCCTGGGCTGCTCCTCCCCTCCCGCAGGGCTGAGGCTGTCCCAGTCGCGGTGGCAGAAGAACGTCGCCTTACGCCCCGATCTGCTCCCTTCACCCTGCTCCTGCTGCAGCGAGACCACGGAGGGCTGGAGTTTAGTCCAGTGCCCCCCTTCTCATCGCATTGGGGGTGCACCATCCCCATAGGTACACAGCACGCTTCATCCATACGCCTCCAGGCACGTCACAAAGCCGGCAAGGGGTGAGTATCTTTACCTAGTGGCTCCATTTTACAGCTGGGGAACAGCATGCTTCATTCATACGCCTCCAGGCACGTCACAAAGCCGGCAAGGGGTGAGTATCTTTACCTAATGGCTCCATTTTACAGCTGGGGAAACTAAGGCAAAGTGACTTGCTCAAGGTCAGTGGCAGGGTTGGGAGAGAGCCCAGCACTTCTGGCTCCCACCCAGCCTCCCCTACATGAAGGAAGAGCTGCCAGCCGAACAGCATGCTTCATTCATACGCCTCCAGGCACGTCACAAAGCCGGCAAGGGGTGAGTATCTTTACCTAATGGCTCCATTTTACAGCTGGGGAAACTAAGGCAAAGTGACTTGCTCAAGGTCAGTGGCAGGGTTGGGAGAGAGCCCAGCACTTCTGGCTCCCACCCAGCCTCCCCTACATGAAGGAAGAGCTGCCAGCCCCGTCTGGTCCGGGGCTAGGAATGCTGGACCCTGGGAACTGGGAGGCCAGTAGTGAACTGGAGCATTTGATCTAGGAACTGGCATCAAGAGAGAGAATAAAGAGGGACCCCCCCCACATACACACACAAGCCCTTTCTCTGAGTACAGCCAGGCTCCCGTTCCCCTGCTAAGCCCCTCGTCATTTCTTCAGCCTCTTACGTTTGGCGGCTTTATGGGGCCTTTCACCTGAGGGGTTTGCTGAGGTGGGAATACAAGGGTTGCGGCTAAGGAGAGAGGAGGGAGGCTGAGCTGGGGAAGGGCCAGGGAAGAGTAATTCTGGACCCTGAGGCGGTCAGCTTCCCGTGCTTGTACACAGCCGGCCGGCAGGGCACAGCTCGGGTTAGGAGAGCAGGGCTCTGGGGGAACGCAGGGCTGGGGTAGCATGGTGAGGCCTGGGGGAGCGCGATAAAGAGCAAGTGGGTATCCATGGCACGCCGGGGGATATAGGCTGAGCCCCTCGGAAGGCAGAACCAAGGCCCCTGGGCTAGGGTGGAAGTTGCTAGGTCAGGCAAACGGAACAAGACCTTTGTGCTGTTGCAATGGGGCTAGCGCCTGATGCCACCCATTACCCGCCATCTCCCTCCTTGCATCGCTCCCGCAGACAGCCTCCCCGGAGCTGAGCAGGCAGGAAGCGGAACCTGTCTGGCCTTACAGGTGTGAGTCCTTCACCGACTCCTGCGAGGGATGACGTCGCGGTGAACCCCACCAGCCCCTGAACAGGAAGAAATCCGGCAACCCGCGCAGCACGAGGGCACGTGTGACGTGGCCGGCCTGTGAGCCTGGGGCAGGCCCCATGGGCCCAGGGCAGCACCTGGCTTACACGGGGGTCTCCCGCGCCCCCAGGAATTTGGGAAGCATCATCCCCCTTTCACAGTGGGCTACGAGGAGGCGGAGAGTTGACTTCAAGGTGAGCAGGAGCAGTCAGTGGCGGAGCTGGGATGAGAACCCCACTTCTCTCCTGCCGGCTTTCACCCTTGCGGGGGTGTCAATCGACAGAGGGGCTCTAGTAGCACCCGGCGGCACTAGGGCTTCATTCTGTGGCCTAGGAAGACACTGGCTCCACAAGGGAGATTTACCCTCCCCCCCCCCGCCCCTCCCAGTTGCAGCTGGTTATTCCATTGGAATAGGTAGAACTAATCGCTCTGCCGTGCCTAGCACAGCTCACCAGCCCTCCCTTGCCCCACCCCGGCCGCTCCCTGCTGCTGCACAGCTCACCAGCCCTCCCTTGCCCCACCCCGGCCGCTCTCTTCTGCTGCCCCTAATTGCACATTCTCCTCCTCCTCACCCCTGCTGCTACAGCCTTCGCCAGCTGCCCCTGGTGGTCCTCTCCCCTCTCCTCCAGCCCAGGAGCAGCTGTCTCCTTCCCTGTCCGTGCCCTAGAGCCCTTCGCAGCACAAACGCCGCTCTCGCCCTGTCATTCCAGGTCTCTGTTTCCTCAGTGTCTCTGTTCTTGGGGGGTGATGGTGCAAGACGGATCAATTCACGCAGCTGCACGACTGTAGCCGTAGCCTGCTCGCGGCAACGCCAGGCTGGCTCCGTGCATTACTGTTATCCCTGCCGTTTTCTCGTGCCTTCGTCGCACGCTCCGACAGCCCGTGGCAGAGCAGGCAGGAAGCGGAACCCGCCTGGCCGTTCAGCGGCAAGTCCGGGCCCGAGTCCATGACGTCGCGGTGAAACCCACCAGCCCCAGATTGGTGACCCCTAGACTTAAACGCACCTGAGGATTTCTGGGGTCTTTGGCCTGGGCGGAGGGCTACTCGTCTGTAAAAAAAACAAAAACAACCCTGAGGAACCCTGCTCTCTGCAGAACGAACCCCGCCAGGCGCTCCAAGTCCCATCACCCTTCTTGGGTGGTTTCCTGTCTCCCAGCAGTTGTAGACGAGGTGATTCAGACTGACGGAAGACATCCAGGGGAGGCCTGGATCTTCCTGGCGTGTGGCTGCACCAATCAGGTGAGCCTGCGCACGGGAGGACATGCTGCTCGAGCTAGTCGCATGACGATGGGAACGCAGCCCCGGGAGCAGCTCAGCCAGGCTGCGACCCGTGCTCCTGCACCTTCCCAGCCCTGCCGCTCGAGCTAACGCGGTGCGGTGGAGCTGCGGTGGCATCCGGGATTGCAATGCAGACCCGCGCCCATGTTCTCCCCGTGGCAGCGCTCGCTGTCTAGTGCTACGCGGGTGACGACATGCCCAGCCCACGCGGCCTCACCTGCGGCTGCAGCGCAGCAAACCCGGAAAAGCTGTCCTTGTCAACCACCGACGCCACCACCTGCAAAGAGGGGAAGGCCGTGACGGCCGGGACTTGGTTCTTCCTGGCTCTCCTCAGCTCCCGCTCCCCCTCGGGGTCCCTCACGCCCACGCTTTGGCTTCCAGCTCGCCGTAATCTACCCTCCCCCGGCCTTGCCTCTGGCTTTGGAAAATCCCGGCCGATTGCTCTGGCTCCCATGTACTCCTGAGTCCACCACCAGGAGGGGCCACTGTTCCTAGTGGTTCAAACACCCAGTCCCGGGTCCAGAGCAGCAGGTCTTCAGCCTAAACATTTTCACCTGCCCTGTGGGCCTCTCCTGGGGGAGAGCTCTCAGGACCACTCAAAGGGACACTGATGCCTGGAATCTCAGCTATATTTTTAGCCTAAGCTTCTCAAAGCAGCTGGGGAGAGTGAGGATCCCAGTTCCTTTCAGTGGGACTTGGGTACTTTAACTCCCTTTGGGCTCTCTTGACGATCCCGGCCTTCGAAATCAGATGCGCTTGTGTGTGTTGCTGGCAGGCCGGGGGTTGGCAGATGGGCTTTGCCCCTCCATGGCGGCTGTTTTATTTTCTGGCTCAGATAGTGGCGAGGGAGTTGGCCATTCCCTTCCCAGATCCCGCACGCTAGCTCAGTGCTGCTGTTTGGCTCCCACGCGCTGAAGGGGGCCTGAAAACCTGGTCACCCACCAGCCTGTTCCATTGTTCTGCTCACGCAGCTTCCACATTTTAAACTGGATTTCCACTGACTTCCCTCCCCCTTCCTGTGGCTGAGCGGGTCAGGGCAGAGACTGTCTTCGACCCCCTGCTCTCCTCCCTGCTGCCAAGACCCCGCAGTAAGAGCAAAGGGGGGATCCCTGGCCAGACGCCCGCGAGTGGGCTCCTCTGCCCCACAGCCGAACAGCACATTAATTCCTCCCGACGGGCTGAATTCCCTACCGTAGCTTTTCCCAGGTAATCCTTCTTCTCCAGCTGAGCCACTTGCTTTTCATTGGGCCTGAACAGCTTCCCGGGGGGGATCACGACTGGCTCAAAGAGTTTCTGCTTCTGCGGCGCACACAAATCCCAGTGCTTTCAGGAGCACGCGGCTTGCTCCAGCATGGCCTGCTTTTCCGGTTAGCTCCCTGCCTGTAAACTCGGCCCATCGCCTGTGTCAACACCAGGTCGTCGCCGTCCCCCCGCCGTCCACTCACTCCAACTATCCCCCACACACACAAACCCCATTCAATCCAACTGCCCCCTACCCCATGACTCAGCGCCTCCCCAGACCCTCCTGGAAATCCGAGTGTCTCTCGTCCCTACAGCTCCCTGCCTTTCCCCAGTGAGCTCTAGTAGGAACAACCCCCCTGAGCAGCCCCTCATGATATTCTTTACCAAGATGGCTTCCATCGCCCTGTCAATCTTGCTGTGCCGGGGCTCGGTCTTCATGCTTATCGCCAGCGTCAGGTGCTCTTCGGCTTTTCTCCAGTCCTCCAGCTTGGCATAGAGCAGGGCTATGTTGTACAGCACCTGCGAGGCGGACAGGGAGCAGAGGATGGGGGATCTCCACAGAGCCACTCCTACAGCAACCCACCGGCCTGCGCCAGAGACCTGGGATGGGCCCTCGCTGCTGCATCCGAAACCTGCTTCCTGAGGACACCGCTGAGCAGTCAGCTTGTCCTCTGGCCCCAGGAGGGTCCCGAAAGCTCCCTCTGGAGGTGATGTGTGACTGAGGGGGGATGGGAAAGGAGGAGAGGACTCGCTTTGCTATTTAAGAGTTCTGCTCTCTGCTAGGAACCTTCCTAACATTTGATCGTGTGCTTTACAGGGGGTCACGTGACTTGTCCCTGCCGGGGCCGACTCTTCTTCCTTTGCAGGGGGATTTGGATATAAAGAGGCTAGTTTTACGTCTCTAAAATTACTGGGCCTAGAGAGCAGCCTTCAGGAATCAGCCCCCGCTCCCTGACTCTGCAGCCATCTCTTGGCTGTCTCCAATTCTGGGAGGCAGAACCTGCCCCGCAAGGGCAGGCTAGAGAAGACCCCTTTCCTTCAGGGTCTGCGTCTTCCTGCTGCCGCCTAATTGCCAATGATCATCAGTAGGGCCCTACCAAATTTACGGTCTAATTTCGGTCAGTTTCCCGGTCATAGGATTTTAAATAGCATCAGTGTCTCCGTTTCAGTTGTTTAAATCTGAAATTTCCTGGTATTGTAACCATGGAGGACCTCAACCCCAAACGGGGTCAGCGGGGGAGGGGGAAGGGCCGCAAGGCTATTGTAGGGGTCATGGTATTGCCACTCCGACTTCGGTGCTGCTGCCTTCCGAGCTGGGCAACGGCTCCTCATCCCTACCTCCATGGCCCAGACACGGGGCCTGTGGCAACACCCTCCACCCAAGGGCCACCCCTGCCCCACCTTTTCCGAACCCTGTTCCACACCATCCCACCCTCACTCCACCCCTTCCCCAAAGAACCGCCCCTGCTCCGCCCCATCTCTTCCCACCTCTGCTCCGCCCCTTTTGTCCCAAAGCCCCCTCCCCCAAGAGACGGCAAAGCAGGGCGCCTAGTGCAGGGCAGCAGCGGGGGTCGAGCCTCCAGCGCTCACCACAGCAGTGTGGGCCGAAGGAAACGGAGCAACGCAACCAGCAGCCGGCTCTGCTCCAGCACCACCTCCCCGCCAGGTTGCTCCGCTTTTCTGTGGAGCAGGAAGCAGCGCCCACCAGCCTCTGCCCGCTCCCTCAAGCGACACAGGGCTTCTGGGGGAGCAGGCGGGGGGCTCTGCTTCCTGCCGCCATGGTGAAGTGACCCACATGGCTGCAAGATGGAGATGGAGCAGAGCAGGCTGTTGGCTGCATTGCCCCATTTCCGCGAGTTGGGGAGGGGGGGCTTGACCCCTGTTGCTCGCCCTAGGCCACCTTCAGGCTAGTGTCCATGTGGGGGACCATCCCATCCATAGGACAGTTGGGGTAACCACTGTGGGCCAAAGCTTGGGGCTGGGGTGGTCATCCCGAACTATCAGCAGCTGCTGCTCTCCAACCGCCCAGCTCTGGGGTCCCCCCTACAGAGCCAGATTTCACAAGGGAGATCAGATTTCATGGCCCATGATGAATGTTTCCCAGCCATGATTTTGGTAGGCCCCTACTAATCCGGGTACAGAGGCTGATGTCTCGGGGGAGGCTCATGGTGGTGGTGGGACCTGTCCCGGACTGAGAGAGAGAAAAGACCAGGCCGCAGAGAGCTCTTCCGCTTCTCTCCCCAGATCTGAGTGCCCACAGCCAGCCCTCACTGGCTATCACGAGGGGCTCTCTCAACCCCTTTTTGACCTGCCAACCACCCATGGGGGATGGGTGTATGTACCTGGAGTCCTGGGATTCTGCTGCTTTCACTACCACTGTGCTTTGTGTTCCCTGGTGACCCCTTGTGTGTGGCACCCACTGGCTGAGTGATGCTGGGTTAGCTTCCAACCCCATTCCCTCCCCTCCTGCGCTTCCCAGCTGCCCTTGCTTGTCTCAGGGACTCTCAGCCCCTGCACGCCCTCACCTCACAAGCAAACAGCCGGAACTGCAGCCCCAGGATCTTGTAGTCTATCAGCTGGTTCCCTCGCAGCTGGGCCAGTGCCTCTTTGAAGTCCTCAATGGCCAGTTCGTAGCTGTAGAGCAAAGAAAGGTGCAAACTCTCAGGGCACGGCTCTGGGCTGCCTGCCATCTTTCACGCCCTCAGAGCCCGGCTCTAGCCTGAGTTGCTGGGAGACGACCCCCGCCAGCCCGTGGAGTACTGATGGCCGTTTACCATTACCCGACTCCTGGGGCCAGCTGGAGTGGTTCTCTGCCTCGAGGGACTCAGCTGTCAGATATTTTTGGTGTGACTGTATCCATGGCGGTTTGCCAGCCTGCTTGCCAGCTTGGAAGTCTGTCCCCCTCTCCCCTCCATCCAGGCTCTTTCCAAACCCACAACCAGGGTGAGCAGCATCGTCGCTGCGCTAGGCGGCTGTACAATGTGCCAGACAGGCCCTGCCCTGCAGGCTTTAGCCAGCTCATCGTCTTTGTTTTTGGGGGTGTCTTTAAAGGCACTGGGGTATTCCCCAGGTTCCCATCCCCACTCGCCACCCACTAGGCCTCCGCCTCTAAGAGAACCTGCTTCTCTTGGGAGGTGAGTCCTAGCTCTAGTTACTCAGCTTTGGCAGCACAACAGGACGGCCTTGCCAAATGGCTGCTCTCAGCCAGCTGGGAACCAGAAATGGCTCTGGCTAGAAGCAGCACGAACCCCCCCCCCCCCCCCCCCCCGCAGTCGCCC